AGTTAGCTATGGAAAAAATAGCCGCCATTATTGAAATAAACAGTTGAAAGCGCGCTCCAATGATAAATTTGATCAATCAAGGAAAAATGATTATTTTTTCAACTCTGAATTTGCGCTCTAAGGATTGGAAGTTTGTTGGAAAAAAGAGCCGCCATTATTAAAAGATACAGAAGAAAGTGCGCTCCAAGGATAAATTTGATAAATCGAGGCAAAATGATTTTTTTTTTCATCTTTTATTTGCGCTCTAATGATTAAAAGTTATTGGAAAAAAATTAGCCGCGCTAGGCAAAATAATTCTTTGAAAGTGCGCTCCACTGATAAATTTTAAGAAATCGACGCAAAAATAATTTTTTCATTTTTTTATATTCGCTATCTAATGATTGAAAGGTTGTTGGAAAAACAGCCGCCATTATTAAAATATACAGTTGAAAGTGCGCTCCAATGATAAATTTTAAGAAATCGACGCAAAATAATTTTTTTTTCATTTTTATATTCGCTATCTAATGATTGAAAGGTTGTTGGAAAAAAAACAGCCGCCATTATTAAAATATACAGTTGAAAGTGCGCTCCAATGATAAATTGGATGAATCGACGCAAAATTTTTTTTTTCAATCTATTTCATAATTTTGAATGAGTATTGGCTCGTAAAAATAAAAACTTGTCGTAGACGGAGGAAATCGCGCTCCAATGATAAAAGATTCATTTTCTCGAAAATTAAGCTTTTTTACAAGTTTTATACTGTTTTTGGATAGTTTAAGCTGTATTTAATCTCGAAAATACAGTAAATTTTCGAATTTATCAATAAAACTAAAAAAAAAATCATTAAAATGGTTAAAAGTACGACAAAAATCCCCCAAAAATCGTTTCCTTTTCCTGTTTTTCAATTATTTTCATGAGTTTGAGGTAAGTTTTCTGGAAAAAAAAGGTATCTATTTATTAATTTTTCTACTCGTAGGAGTGCATGGATTTGCATAGAATTTGTGTAGGAATTATGTGTGGGTTCATTTCTTCTCATTCCCTTTTTTTGCCCCATATCTAGAATTTTTTTGTTGACCAGCGCTTTATTTTCCTTTGAAAAAAATGCTGTTTTTGTTTTGTTTTTTTATGTGGCTTAAAATTGGCTTGAATTCAGTGAAAGTTGAGAAAAGTTGAACTGAAAAAAATGATATTTTTTTCCTTTTTTTTCAATGATAGTAATTCCATATTTTGGACCGTTTTTTTCTCAAATTTTTTTCAGAAAGAAATATTTTTTTAAAAACTAACTTAGGGCTCATTTCATGATTTTGCCTTTTTTTCAGTGGCTTGAATTCTGTTTTAGCTTTAGAGCGCACATTCCTTCAATTTTTTTGCGGCGATTTTTTTCCCATCTTTTTCGGATTTTTTTCGCCTTAGAGCGCACTTTCCTCTATTTCCTGTAACGATTTTTTTCTCATATTTTTTTTCCATGTTTTTTTCAATTATAGTAAAAAAACAATGAATTTTAAGAACATAATCAGAAAAAGCAAAGAAAAAAATTTTTTTTTCATTTTTTTGAAATGAATAATGACAAAGAAAAAAATGAAAAATTTATTAATTTATAAAAGATTTTTTTGCGACGGCCGTCAACCTCTCAGAACGCGATTTTGCGATTTTGTTTTCGTAATAGCCTCACGGACGCTGTTTATAGTACGAAAAATGTGTGTCCCTTCTTTTTTTTTCCCTCTCGTCCTATACGTTGTTCTTTTTTTCTTTCTCCTTCGAGGTTGTTTTTTTTTTTCATTCTGACTTTTTCACGGGTTTTTTCACGCTCTTTTTGGCGATTTTTGCCCAAGTTTCAAAAGTTTCAAATCAATTCAGCTCTTAAGATAGGTGATTAGGATTTTTTTGAATAATGGGGGATTTAAGCTTTCTGGTAATTTTGACAATTTCCTCGGTTTTTTCACATCTTTCTGGCGAAATCTTCTCGAGTTTTGGACTGTTATAAATTTTAAGATGGTTGGAAAAGTTATTGAATCGACTCTTCGATTGGAAGTTTTCAAGGTTTTGAGCTTCAAATTTGATAATCTCGTGGAAAACCCCACTTTTGGAGCGTTTGAAGACATTAAAATAAATTTACAACGGCTTCTGTGTGTATCCGAGGAGCTGGGAAGAGACATTTATCTCACACGGAAAGTAATCTGACTTTGCGACCTCGGATATTCTACAAATTGAATTTCAAATCATCTCTGAAGGTATTTAAGATTCATCAAAGATGCAACGCCGCACCAGTTTCTAGTTTTTGAGATAATTATTTTTGAAGTTCGAAAAGTTATAATTCGCGACTTTCAAAATTAATATCTCAAAAACTAGAAGTTTGCGCAGGTACAGTCTGTGTGCCACGACTTGACATTTCATGGAACGACATTCCGCTGTTCCGCTGCGTGCGTTCGCGAAGCGTCTTTCGAATCTAGGTCACGCTTTCGATTGATTTTTATTGCTGTGGTAGCACAGGAAAGAAGAGTACCTTGAAAATAGAAAGGAAAAATCAAAAGCGCGACCAAGGTTCGCAAAGGCGCGCAGCGGCACATCGGAATGTCGTTCCGTGAAATTCCAAGTCGTGGTTCACAGGCTATAGAGACTATGTGGAATCTTCCTCTAGACCTTCAGAGAGTCTTTGAGCGAATTTGTAGAAAATTTCACACCAATAAGTAAAATAACTTCCCCTGTCAGTACATCTAACTTTTACATCTGAAAAATCAAAAAAAAACTTTTTCAAATTTGAATCAGAACAGTTTCATCAGAATCCGTGTTTTCCTCTCTCCCTCCTGAAACTGTTTTTTCATTTTTCCTCCGTTAATTGTTACGGTTATTTTCCCAGGAAACACGATATGTTATTGTTGAGAACACAGGAAACGGGCCAAAATATTTTGCCCCTTTTCACAGTTTTTCTCTCTGGTTTTCCAACAATTTTCGTTGAGAAATTGCAGATTTCTTGTTTTCTAGAGGAAAAGCGCTCAATTTTTATCGATTTTCTGGTTTTTACAATGATGGCTTTTCTGAATTTTCACTGGGATTTTTAATATTTTCGAGTTTTTTAGAAGTAGTTTTGTAGATTGATTTTTAAAAGGAGCTTTAAAAAAATACCAAAAATGTCTGCGAAAAAAATTAGAGGTGCTCAAATTTGAATTTATAGCTTTCCGAACCTTTTTCTCATTTTTAAGCGTTTCAAATTTTTCATTTTCGTTTTCCAAGCTTTTTTTGAAAACAAAGTGAAAATCGGCTTAACAAATTGGTTTTTTTCTCGACTTTTCCTTATTAAAAGTTATCAACACAAAGTTTTTTGAAGAATAAAAAAATTCGATTTTTTTTTTGAAGGGATCCTTATAGGGTTTTCTCAATTTTTCCAAATTTTTTTTGAGAAATTGACGATTTTTCTAAACTTTGATTTGGATAGCTTAACGCAGCTAAAACTGTCCAAAAAGATAGATTTTTGAAGGATTTTCGAATTTAATCAAAATTTACCCAAGAAGACGATTTTTACAGGGTTTTTAAGGGAAAAATATTGAAATATTCGAAAAAAAGTATTTTTTCAAATTTATTCACAATTTTCCCATGAAGACGATTTTTCACACTGTTTTCTAAAGGAATTTTCAAAATTGGATCTTTTTTTTCGAAGCGATACGTTCCTTCCAGATTTCTTCTCATTTCCCAATAAATTTGTTGAGAAATTGGCGATTTTTCCGTTCTCATTTGTAGTTGTTTTGAGGGGTTGACACGGCTTAAAGTACGCCTTGTGAGCTTGTTTGTCCGCGCGGCGATTCCTCGAACTTTCGGCCCCTTTTCCTTCATATCTTTCTTTTCCTCGTTGAGTTTCCTGGACTTTTCCTGAGAAAGACTTGGAAAAACTATCATAACAGTTGAAAAGGATGCAAACGACCGTTTTTTAAAGAAGTTCGCATTCTTTTCTCCCCCCCCCGCATTTTTTCGTTAAGCTTTTTTTTTCATAAAAGTTGAAAAAGAGGCAAACTACCGCTTTAGTTTTTTTCGGCCCCTTTTTTTCATAATCCCCCCGATTGATTCTCCTGTTGAGTTACCTGGAAAAATCTTAGAACTTTTCTTCGGCCCCCTCCGTTTTTTTCCCGTTGAGTTTCCTCGGATTTTCCTGAAAAAGGCTTGAAAAAAATCATCAAATTGAGAAAAATATCCAGACGTCCGCATTTTACAAACTTTTTTTTCATGACGTTCCTCCCCCCGCTCATTTTTTTCCACTCGAGTTTCATGGTAAATTTGTAAAAAAAGTTCATGAAATCAACAAAAAAATAGCAAACGATCGCTTTTTAAAAGATATTCGGTCTTTTTCTCTTTTTGAACCCAAAAAAATTTTACCTTGATAAAAAAATAGTATTTCAGAAAAAAATCACCAGGAACCTGACTAAAATTAGTCAAATCAACGGTTTTCAAAGCCGACAATTTCGATTTTTCTCCCGTTTCATAATTTTCGGGTTGAGAGTACCTTTTTAAGCAAGATGTACTTATTTTCTTGGAGAAATCTAAAAAAAAAAATCTTTTTTTCCAATATTTGTACTATTTTCATCATTTCTTTCTATCGAAATTAAGCTTTAAAACCTCAAAAAAATTTTGATATATTTATTTTGACATAATCTTTTTTTAAAGGCGCAAGTTGGTTCCTTAAAATCCCTGTGCGCCTTTAAAAAACAAGGAAAATCCTCTGCGCCTATTGATAGAAGAAACATCTATGCGACTTTAATAAGAAGAAAAATCCTCTGCGCCTTTAAAATCCCTTTCCTCGATTTCGTGATTTCTGCTGTCCTTTCGTGCTCGATTTCGTTCGTTTTCCACGAATTTTACTCATTGAAAAAATTATTTTCCTCATTTTCAGGGCTATAAATACCGGCCGTTCTCGATCCAAAGATTTTCAATCTCGATCAGTTTTCTGATTCGAAAATTTCGACTTCAAGTCCCAAAACTCGTCAGAATAAAAAACGGAATCGAATGAGCCGATGATAATAATGAAGAATCGAATGCCGCGCGTTCGACATCGTCACAAATCGACGGATTCTGAAGAAGAGGAAGACGTCGGGCCGTCTTCTTCCCACCAAGTCCCGATTGAATCCCGGGATTCCGAGTTCTATGAGAGGTGAATACACTGAAATTATTCAGAACGAAATCGAGAAATTTTCACTTGTTTTAACTTCACTGACTTCCAAAATTCCAAAAAAATATTGAAAAAGCCTTATTCAGTTTTTGCGCAGCTGCACGGCATTCAAAAAAATTATTTCTTGAAAAAAATTAGATTAATCATGAAATTCTCCAACGTAGATTTATTAAAAATGAAGTTTGAGAGGTATAAAAAGATGGTAACTGCCTTTTTATTGATGATGATGATGATGAACTGCCGATAAATCTTAGAAAAAAGATAGAAAATGATTTTTCAAACGATACGGAGTGGTTTTTGAACGGAAAAAAAAAACGAAAAAAGGCTCGTTTTTGAAAAATCAACGTTGAAAAAAAAAATCCAAGGAAAAGATACAAATTACACCTCACAAATCATCAAAAAAAACCTGAAAAATGAAAAACGCCTCTTTTTTTCCCAGAAAACAACGACGAGCGAATCCGAGGAGCTGGACGAGGTGCAAAGAAAACACGGCGAATGACCGATGTCGACGTTCTTCTTTCAATTCAAAACTCACATGGACCCTCAAACTCCTCTGCATCATTTTCACCTTCGCTGCGTGTGTTCTGGTAATTTTTCCGTTTATTTCTTAAAAAATGTTAATTTTGAGAGAACAAGTATAAAAAGTTATAATTTTCGTCCAAATTAGAGGGATAGGATGTATTTCTTGAACTAACATTGAGAAATTCTATTTTGTTATTCCATTAAGTAGAAAAAAAAAATTAAAAAGAAAGGAAAAAATCCCAAAAAAATGAAAAAGTTTCAGTATGTGATTTTTGCGTCGCGTGTATACTCGGTGTATGCACACAAAACATTCATTGACGTCTATTATTTATATTTCCGTTTTTTTCTCCTATTTTTCGAGCTTCTAATGATTTTAGTATAAATTTTCACAATTTTCAAACAATCCGGAGTTTAAATTTATTTTTGCAAACTACTCAGAGAATTTTCCACACTCTCATCAATTTCCATTCCAAAATTGTAAAAATTTAGAAAAAACCGCTGTTTTATGGTTGTTTTCGCTTCATTCCCTCCATATATTTTTTGTTTTTCAAATCGTAAATCGTACGTGTTGTTGTCTGTACTTTTACCAACCCATCTGGACGGTTTCTTGCAAAAGAAGAGGAAAAGGCCGATTTTGCAGCTGGGACATTTTTTTCCTTTTGGATGACTCATCAAAGTGCATTTCGGGTGTTGAAATGGGGCTAAGAGGTTTTTTGACGGGCTTCTGAGAGGGATTTTAAAGAACAATATTTAAAAAATTGAACTTTGATTTTTTTCCAAAGTTCGAGTTCATAATTTTAGGTTTTAAAAATTCCAGCTTTTGCTTCAAATTCACCTTTTTAGCTGTTTAATATTCAATAAGAGTTAGTTAAAGATATTTTCAATCAACAATGATGAGCAGAAAAAGCTATTCTCTTTGATATTCTTTAAAATAAAAAAATAATTTTCTGATCCTTCGAAAATTCGAAATCCCACCGGGAAGCTCGACGTTGGTGTCGAAAAATGAGTCATTTTGAAGGTTTTTAAATGATGAGTCATCAAAGTGTCTTGAAATGGACGTCAGGGGTTTCTCCGATAGAATTTTTGGAGGGATTTCATGAAAAAAATTAATTTTTAAAAATCCAGTTTATTTCATTTAGTGGTTGAATACAGTGTTTTTTTGTTCTAAGAGTCGATTTTTTTGCTTGAAAATTATTTTTTTCTAGTTTCCTAACAGAATTCTATCTTCATAATGAAAGAATGAGCAATAATTGTACAAAAAAATTCTAGATTTTAGTTTCAAATGGTCAACATTTGAAATTTCAGCTCGAAATTTTCTTTTCAAGCCTTTAACACGCTGTCTCCGTTATTCTCAAAAACAACGGGTACAATAAAAAAAAATATTTTTTGATTTGGATGAAACTTCATCCAGTGCGATAACCCATCATCAGAAATGCGGACGCAAATTTTTTTGAGCCATTCCCTCCTACTGTAGCCGGGTTACGGTAGGCAGGTTGGCACCTGCGTATCTCAGTATTGAAGAGTTTTTTTACTAGGCAAGTTATATATCAATCGATAGGTAATCCAATTTCAAGAACTTTTTACAGTACATACCATCTTGGATTACGGTCGAAAAATTTTGAGTTACGGTACTTTTTGTGTCTGCCCAGTCAGTTTTTCGACCACCATGAGCTTGAGCCAGGAGATCCATTCTTCCTAACTTCTCAAAAGATACCTTATGAGAAGCTCTACAAGCTGGTACTAATTTGAGAATATCCTAGGTGGACCATCATTTCGAAAAATCGCCCCGAAGGCGCGCAATCGTAGTCTTGCGGCGGCCAAGTGGGTGAAGTCCATGATGCCTGACGGCTCATTCTTCAGAGATCCATTCCAATCTTTGTTTCCATTTTACTCATAGATATCTATTATTGACTTTTTATTTCAATTTGAGATGTTTTCGGGTTGACCATCATCTCGAAATTTCATTTTGAACCCAAATTTGGCCTGAAAAGGGTCGACACGGCTTCTTTCACGGGATCCCTGACCACGTATGTGACCGTTCTCAACTTTTTTCTTTCTTAAACATGAACAAGAGTGTCTGAACAACAGTTTTATAACAATCAGAAACCCTTTTGAGAAGACCATCATCTCGAAATTTCATTTTGAACCCAAATTTGGCCTGAAAAGGGTCGACACGGCTTCTTTCACGGGATCCCTGACCACGTATGTGACCGTTCTCAACTTTTTTCTTTCTTAAACATGAACAAGAGTGTCTGAACAACAGTTTTATAACAGCCAGAAACCCTTTTGAGAAGACCATCATCTCGAAATTTCATTTTGAACCCAAATTTGGCCTGAAAAGGGTCGACACGGCTTCTTTCACGGGATCCCTGACCACGTATGTGACCGTTCTCAACTTTTTTCTTTCTTAAACATGAACAAGAGTGTCTGAACAACAGTTTTATAACAATCAGAAACCCTTTTGAGAAGACCATCATCTCGAAATTTCATTTTGAACCCAAATTTGGCCTGAAAAGGGTCGACACGGCTTCTTTCACGGGATCCCTGACCACGTATGTGACCGTTCTCAACTTTTTTCTTTCTTAAACATGAACAAGAGTGTCTGAACAACAAGTCTTCCTCTTCAAAATTTTCTCCTCAAAATGAAATTTCGAGATGATGGTCTTCTCAAAAGGGTTTCTGGCTGTTATAAAACTGTTGTTCAGACACTCTTGTTCATGTTTAAGAAAGAAAAAAGTTGAGAACGGTCACATACGTGGTCAGGGATCCCGTGAAAGAAGCCGTGTCGACCCTTTTCAGGCCAAATTTGGGTTCAAAATGAAATTTCGAGATGATGGTCTTCTCAAAAGGGTTTCTGATTGTTATAAAACTGTTGTTCAGACACTCTTGTTCATGTTTAAGAAAGAAAAAAGTTGAGAACGGTCACATACGTGGTCAGGGATCCCGTGAAAGAAGCCGTGTCGACCCTTTTCAGGCCAAATTTGGGTTCAAAATGAAATTTCGAGATGATGGTCTTCTCAAAAGGGTTTCTGGCTGTTATAAAACTGTTGTTCAGACACTCTTGTTCATGTTTAAGAAAGAAAAAAGTTGAGAACGGTCACATACGTGGTCAGGGATCCCGTGAAAGAAGCCGTGTCGACCCTTTTCAGGCCAAATTTGGGTTCAAAATGAAATTTCGAGATGATGGTCTTCTCAAAAGGGTTTCTGATTGTTATAAAACTGTTGTTCAGACACTCTTGTTCATGTTTAAGAAAGAAAAAAGTTGAGAACGGTCACATACGTGGTCAGGGATCCCGTGAAAGAAGCCGTGTCGACCCTTTTCAGGCCAAATTTGGGTTCAAAATGAAATTTCGAGATGATGGTCAACCCGAAAACATCTCAAATTGAAATAAAAAGTCAATAATAGATATCTATGAGTAAAATGGAAACAAAGATTGGAATGGATCTCTGAAGAATGAGCCGTCAGGCATCATGGACTTCACCCACTTGGCCGCCGCAAGACTACGATTGCGCGCCTTCGGGGCGATTTTTCGAAATGATGGTCCACCTAGGATTTTTTCAAATTAGTACCAGCTTGTAGAGCTTCTCATAAGGTATCTTTTGAGAAGTTAGGAAGAATGGATCTCCTGGCTCAAGCTCATGGTGGTCGAAAAACTGACTGGGCAGACACAAAAAGTACCGTAACTCAAAATTTTTCGACCGTAATCCAAGATGGTATGTACTGTAAAAAGTTCTTGAAATTGGATTACCTATCGATTGATATATAACTTGCCTAGTAAAAAAACTCTTCAATACTGAGATACGCAGGTGCCAACCTGCCTACCGTAACCCGGCTACAGTAGGAGGGAATGGCTCAAAAAAATTTGCGTCCGCATTTCTGATGATGGGTTATCGCACTGGATGAAGTTTCATCCAAATCAAAAAATATTTTTTTTTATTGTACCCGTTGCTTTTAGAAATTTTTTTGAGAATTACAGAGACAGCGTGTTAAACACAATCTTTTTTTATTATAGTGGGAAGCTCTATGTTTTTTTAAATTTTAATTAGTCGAAACTTGGATTTTTCAACTCAAAAATTGCATTTTCTAAATTTTCAACACAGTCTTATCTCCTAAAAATCAACGTTATATGAGCGATTTATATCGAAAAGCTGTAGATTTTTAGATTTTAACTGGTGGATATTTGAATTTTTTTAGCTTAAAAAAACGCTTATTCTAGCAGCCCTATACTATCCTATCATTGTAAACCACAGTTTAATGTGAAATTATTCTCGAAAACAGCGTTTTTAGAGGTTTATCCGGTCAAAATTCGAATTTTCAGCTCAAAAATGCATTTAACAAGCTTTCAACACAATCCTATCTTCCAAAGTCTACTTCATATGAGCAATAAATGTCGAAAAGCTATTGATTTTTGAATTTTAACTGGTGAATATTTGAATTTTTTGCTCCACAATGCTTTTTCCAGTTTCTCAACTCTTCGTGATTTTTTGAGCATTTTTTTTTTTTTGGCTTTCTGTGAATTTTTTTTCAACATTAGGGAGCATTTATCCTCGAAAACTGCATTTTTTAGAACGCCAACCGGTCAAATTTTGAATTTTTAGCTCAAGAATTATTATTCTAGCAGTCCAACACAATCCTATCTTCATGATTTTTTTTAGCACTTTTTTTTTGGCTTTTCGAGAATTTTTTTCAAGATTAGTGAGCATTTATTCTTGAAGACAGTGTTTTTAGAGCTTTAACCGGTCACATTTTGAATTTTTAGCTTAAAAAGGCCTTCTCAAGTCTTTCCTCTCAAGAGCCCCGGAAAAAAAAAGCTCGATATCAGTAGGCGTCTCATCCGGCCGATATCCAAAAAGGAGATACTAATCTCATATCCACGTCGGCCGGAAACTCGAAAAACGACGATTGACGCAAATCCTCTCTCTCTCTTTTCATCCCTCCATCATCATATCGTCACAAAAAAGCTACCATAATCCGTCTCTAGTGATTGAGGAGAAGCTTAGAAAGAAGCCTGATGGGGGGGGCGAATAACAGAGGATAATGATTGAAATATTCAGTGATATTTCCATGAGAAAATTTGGTGATTTATTGGGACCTTTTGAAGGATTTAATCATGTAAAGAAATTTTATCCGTTATGGGAAGGTACAGGGATTAGAATCAGGATTTTCTGAAAGAAAATGGGAATTTTTCGGAGCTAAAATAGGCAAAATTGTAACGTAAACCTTTCCAGGCCCTTATTTTTGATATAATCTTTTCCAAATCTTGAAAAATGCCATAATTTATGTTTGCTAGGTGACGAGAAGCTTAGAAAAAAAAAACATAAAATTGGGTAAAATAAAGGGAAAAAAGGCTAGAATGATTGAATTATTCAGTGATCTTTCCATGATTCACTTAATAAAGTTGGTTTATTGGGATTTTTGAAGGATTTAATCATAAAAATTATTTTAAAAAGTTATGCGAGGGTCCAGAAATTAGAAGCAGGATTTTTTTAGAAGAAAAATGGGAATTTAATTTTTTTCGATTTTAATTTAGGCAGGTTTGAAACATGCAGTTTCTCAAACCCTTAGTTTGGGTATATATATTTTTTTATTTTATAATCTATTTTTTTACAAGGTGACGAGAAGCTTAGAAAAAAACCTAAAGTTGGGTCAAATCAGTGGAAAAATGAATGAATAATTGAACTATTCAGTGATTTTTCAATGATTTCTATGAGAAAATTGAAAATTACCTTGTGATTTTTAAACCAATAAATCATATAAAGGGCTTCAATAAGTTATAGGATCATATAAAGCTTCGAAGAAAAACCTGCATGTCGAGAAAAATGAGAAATTTCAGTTTTCAAACCATTATTTTAAAGTTTCAAAGCTAGATTTCTGGCTTTTTTCAAAAAAAATTCATTTTGAACAAAAAAAAAACGATAAAAGGTAAATTAAAGGTAAATTCTCCATAAGGTGAGATCTAGCCGACGAATGTTTTAATTGCGATGACAAATTAAAAAACTAAATGGCCCTTTTTTAAAATAATCAGTTTGAAACGGCAAATTAAGCATTAGAACTATTAAGAACAGATCAATTTTTGAATATTTTATTTTCCTACAAAGCCTCCCATCAAAAAAAGCCTTTTTAACTTTGATTCTTACACACGAAATCCACTTTGATGACTCATCCAAAAAGCCACAGCTGCAAAATCGTCCTTTCCCTCTTTTTTTGCAAGAAACCGTCCAGATGGGTTGGTAAAAAGTACAGACAACAACACGTACGATTCACGACTTGAAAAAAACAAAGAATATATGGAGGGAATGAAGCGAAAACAACCATAAAACAGCGGTTTTTTTCTAAATTTCCATTACTTTTCAATGAAAAAAATTCTTTTTTTGGTATGAAAAATAGTCTATTTAGTTGTTCAGGAAATGGGAAAAAAATCCTTGGGATCAATTGAAATACGTCAATTATCACGCAAAAACTATAATAGCCTTGAAAAATGAAGAATTATGAAATAAATATGAAAATGGGCGTCAATAAAAAGTTCTCTGTGCATACACCGCACATACACGCGACGCAAAATCACATACCCAACTTTTTTTTTTTGCAACAAAACTTTTTTGATGGATCACTTAAAAATAAATGTACAAGATATTATTGGATTGGATTTACAACTAGAAAACAGAAAATACATGAAGGGAAAAATAGCGAAAAATCGTAAAAAAATCAAAAATTTTTGACAATTTTTGAATGGAAAGTAATGGAATCAAAAAAATACAGGGTGAAAAAAATCAGAAAGATAAGTATACGTTCAATTTTTATACAGCAAAGACAATGAAACAGTGAAATTTTATATCTGATTAAAATTTCCAGCCGAGCAACGCGATAAAAGAAGTGAGGTGCGGAACGATCGATATCCGAATTTCGCCCCATGAATACATCAAAAAAGCCGAATATGGACTGGGCGATTCGGTTCAGGGACAGTGAGTTTTGGGCTTCTTGGACTCGGGAAAATTTAACATTTCTGTTGGATAGCTACGAAGAGTTGAGGAAGAGAGGGAAATTCACTTGAATAATGAGAATGCTTTGAGAAATTGAATAAACTCTATGATTCCACTCGGAAGAGTAAGAAAAAATCTTATTTATCGAATTAATCGATCGAAAATGAAGGAAAATCGTGAAAACTGTATGATTTTCAGTAGAAATGGACTGTTGGAAGAAGTATTTTTTTAGAAAATTGGCACTTTTTTTCGAATTTTTTTCTTCTTTCAAATGCTATTTATCATAAAATCATAATTCACTGTATAAATCTCTCATTTTGCACGTTCTCTCGTGTTTCTAGGCGCTTTGCTTTCTAAAAAAAATTCCTAAGACGAGGAAAATCAAGAAAAACTGCTTTAAATATTTGAAAAAATCGATTTTTCCGACAAAATCGACAATTTTCCTTGTTTTTTATCGCCTAAACTCGATAAAATCTCGTCTCTCTGCGCTCTCTCTTTTTATGCGCTGTTTTCTCGTTTCTCTGACTTTTTCGGTGAGAGATTAGAGAGCGCAGGTGGGTCAGACAGTTGAATGAGATAGTCTGGCCTGATAAAATTATGGAAAAAAATTATTAGAATTTTATGATTTTTGGTAGAAATAGACTGTTGAAAGCATTACTTACAGAAAATTGCAGTTTTTTCAAGATTACGGTAGATTACTGTAGCTGAATTTCCACAGGTTGACATCGTGTACGTCTGGCCTGATGAAATTATGGAAAAAAATTATTAGAATTTCATGATTTTTGGTAGAAATGGACTGTTAGGAGCATTATTTTCAAGTTTTTCCAAGATTACGGTAGCTTACTGTAGCTAAATTTTCCCAGGTTGACGTCGTGTACGTCTGGACTGCTAAAGTCGTGGACAAAAATCATTTAAATTTAATTATTTTTGGTAGAAATGGACTGCTCCAAGCATTATTTTCATTTTTTTTTTCAAGATTACGGTAGATTACTGTAGCTGAATTTCTACAGGTTGACATCGTGTACGTCTGGCCTGATAAAATTATGGAAAAAAATTATTAGAATTTCATGATTTTTGGTAGAAACGGACTGCTCGAAGCATTATTTTCATTTTTTTTTTTCAAGATTACGGTAGATTACTGTAGCTGAATTTCCACAGGTTGACATCGTGTTCGTCTGGGCTGATAAAATTATGGAAAAAAAATTATTAGAATTTTATGATTCGTGGTAGAAATGGACTGCTCAAGGCATTACTTACAGAAAATTGCAGTTTTTTCGAGATTACGGTAGCTTACTGTAGCTGAATCTTGACAGGTTGACATCGTGTACGGTAGTGGAAGGCTCCTTCGTAATCGCCCTGATCCGGAACGACACCTCCCAACCTTTGGCCTATCCGAGATTCGAGCACCTTCGCGAGATCACCGGCTCCTTGCTGGTCTTTGATGCGACGTAAGAATGAGAAGGAAGATTGCTCATGTTACCTCACGATTGCAGTGGCTTGCGCAACCTGTCATCGATCTTCCCCAACTTGAGGGTCATCGGCGGCCAACACCTCATCCAGCACTACGCCTTGATCGTCTATCAGAACAACCACCTGGAGGAGGTGAGAAGAAATAGCCGCCCTTGGGTTGTAGCTTGTGCGCTCCATGGAGAATCTACAGGGGAAGTGATCCCTATAGCGGAGAATCCTGAAGAAACGCCAGAGAAAAATGGTATCTCGGTATGTCTGGCGTCTCTTCAAGATTCGGTTGAACACTAACTGTTGCTCATTTTTCACCGGGATCTTTTTTCTCGCCACGAGTAGAAGCTAGATCATTGGGTTTCCGAAGAGACGCCAGAGAAGACAGATTTTTTTCTCTGCGTTTCTTTAGACCACAGTTGATCTCCTATGAATGTGTCAGACGCTGGATTTAAATTAAGAGCTTGAAAATTTACTTTCTATATCTGTATTACTTTCTATATCTGTATTTTTGTGTTTGAGTGAGATAAATAAATAAATAAATAAAAATAAGATGGAAGAACCCGGAAAAAAAACGCGATAGGCAGTGATCCGTCTGGAGAGACGCCAGAGAAGCTAAGAGCCGTCTTTTTCTCTGCGTTTCTTCAGACCACAGTTGATCTCTCAGGAATCAAGCAGATCAGACGCTGGATTCAAATTAAGAGCCTGTTAAAAAACTGATCGAACATAGGAGAAAACGCGAAAGTTAGAGATCCGTTTGAAGAGACGCCAGAGAAGCTAAGAGCCGTCTTTTTCTCTGGCGTCTCTTCAGAGCTCAGTTGATCTCTCAGGAATCAAGCAGATCAGACGCTGGATTCAAGTTAAGAGCCTGTTAAAAAACTGAACGAACCAAGGAGAAAACGCGAAAGTTAGAGATCCGTCTGAAGAGACGCCAGAGAAGCTAAGAGCCGTCTTTTTCTCTGGCGTCTCTTCAGAGTTTTTTGCTCTTCTTTCTCTGCGTCTCTTCACTCTGCAGCTCTCATGAATTTTGCAACAATCAAGCGGATCAGATGCTGAATTTGAATATAGAGCCAAAAAAATTATTCGAACGAAACTGGGGGTATGATGAGACGCCAGAGAAGCTAAGAGCCGTCTTTTTCTCTGGCGTCTCTTCAGAGCCTAGTTAACCTCTCGATATATCTTTTTCTATTAAAAAAACCACTTATCTGTGAGCCATTTTGACCATTATTCAGCTCGGACTGGACAAATTGACCCTGATCCGAAACGGAGGCGTCAGAATCACCGGAAACCGGCTGCTCTGCCACGCGAACTCCATCGACTGGAAACACATCGTCGGCTCGAAATTGAACGACGTCATGGTGGACAACGCGGTCGAGGCCAGCTTCACGGAGACGGGAAAAAGTTGGAGAACCAAGAAAACGATTTATTTTGAAGGGAAATTGTTCAGTTTGTCCGGAAGGGCTCTGCGAACAGGATTCGTCGCAGAAGCGTTGCCGGTACACTCATTCCGGACAGGTTCAGTCCTGTTGGAACTCGGCCAAGTGTCAGAAATGTGAGTCTTGAAAAAAATCACAGGAAAACGTATTTTTCCTATTTTTCGAAGGGAAATTGCACCCCAGTGTGTAGGAAAAACAGTTTGAAAACCTAAAAAGATTTTTTTTAATTAAGGGTTTTTTCTTTCATTTTTCAGTGAAAAAATTAAGGTGAAGTGTGAAAAAAGTTGATTTTGAAAATAATAAAAAAGGAGCTTTTTAAAACTCGGCGAAAAGCCAAAAATGTGAGTTTTATGTAAGAAGGAATGCGTGAGAAATCCGGAAAAAAAGCTTTTTCCAGATTTTGGACGGAAAATAAAGCAAAATGTGTAGAAAAATCGATTAGAAAACTCATAAACTCTAGAAAAAAAGAATAATTTCGAAAACTTCAAAAAAGAGCTTTTTGGGACTCGGCCAAAAGTCAAAAAATGTGAGTTTCAAGAAGGAATCCCAGAAAAGTTTGGAAAAAATTAGTTTTTTCCAGTTTTTTGGAGGGAAAATAAAGATAAATGTGCACAACAAACGATTTTTGAATTCATAAAATCCTCTGAAAAAGGATTAACTTTGAAAATAACTTTAAAAAAATGGCTTTTTGTAACTCTGCGAAATATCAAAAAAATGTGTGGAGTTTTGAAAAAGAACCCATTTTCCAGCTTTTGGAGGAAAAAAATAAAAGCAAAAATGTCTGGAAGAAAATGTTTAAAAAAATCAAAAAAATCCTATGAAAAAAAGAAATAATTTTGAGGGTCATTTTGAAACTCGGACAGTTGTAAAGAATGTGAGGAAAAAAAGAAAATCTGAGTTTTTGAAAATTTGAGGTTTTTTCAAGGACCTTACAAGTTTCAAAGTAGCAAGCATTGAAAAATTTTGAATTTTTTTCTATGAAGAAAAAAAGTCTTCAACTGTTTGATTTTTTGATTTTTCCCGTTCAATATCCGTTTCACGCAGTTTATATGATAAATGATGATAGAATTCATAAAAATATTAACTATCAATCATATATTCAAGATTCCGGGTAAGGATTACAAAAAAAAATTGGGAAATTCGAAGATTTTGAAGTGTGATTTGGGACAATTTTGCGCAGAATTTCAAGCAATTTTTATCATAAAATATGACTTTCCTATCCAGTAATCCGTGGTAGTATACAGGACAGAGATGGGCGGGAATGAAATTCAAAATTTCGGAATGCGGAACTTTTTCATATTCATCCCTTAATCTTTCAAACAATTCTTCTTAAACAAGTTTTTTAAAAAATGTACCTTTATCGGGGCCCCGAAATGACCAAATCCCTATCAGGGCCCACTAAACTTTTATTATGGAATTTTGACCCTTAAAAATCTGGCATCCCTATAGGGATCCCTAAAGTTTCAGGAGCTCACGGGTGATACCCTAAACACCCGCATAGAGGCCCCTAATATTTTGACCCCTATAGGGGCCCCTGAAACAATAAACCCCCTATAGTGAGCCCTCCGAAAATCCTCAGTGGTATAGCTGGTTCACGGCTAGCTTGTGACGCTAAGAAGGGCGTGTCCTGTCTGCGCTCTCCACGAGCCAGGCGCTATCTCGCGCATTATCGTGTCAGGACCCTTTTTTCGATGGCTCAAGCCAACCGTGAATCAGCTATAGAATGAAGTTTGTGCGCTCTAGCGCTAACGGCTTCGCTCTTCCTGAACATTCAAAGGAATTTCCAACTAAATTTTCATAATGCACAGAAATATAATTGAGAAACGCGGAAAGGGGAACAAATAATTTTTTTGCGGAACACGGAATTCCGCCCATTTTTGATACAAAAGTTCAAAAATTTCAAGTCTCAAGGGTCTGATATTCAAGTTTTAATTAAACAAATAACATACTAAACTTTGAGAATTCTGGCGAATCTTGGGAAGATCCGTATTGCAGTGAAAAAGCGAGCTTAATTATTCAAAAAAAAAAATGTAGTTTTCAATCTTGCGGAACTGATTTTTTTTTTCCCTTTTCTCAAAGAATTTTATGAAAATTTGATACCAATGAACTTCTAGGAAAAGTTAGACAAGAAAAATGATAATTTTATACTTTTGGGCTATAATTTTGGAATATTTGGACAAAAGTTTGTCCGTTTCAAGCAGACATGATAAACTGATAAATTATGACTTTTTGATTTGATAGCAATCAAAAAAAAAAGGACAAGAGGATTCTTCTTTTTTTCGGCCATTTCTACGACCTTTTTTGAGCCTCTCCCTTTTAGAGGCCATTATCCATCATTCCTACTTTCTCGGTTTTCAATAAAATCATGTTTGAAGTATTATTTTGCAGTGTGCGAACACGAACGAGACGGCGAAACGATAGGTCCCGGATGTGACCCGAAGGGCGAGAGATGCCACGACGAGTGCGTCGGCGGGTGCGAGAAGCCCGGAGATGCCCGCCTCTGCTACGCCTGTCGTCATTTGAACTACCAGGTTCAGTTTTCGAAAGGAGTTATGAATATAGCTGATTCACGGCCAGCTTGGGACGCTAAGGGGGCGTGTCGTGTCTGCGCTCTCCACGAGCCAAGCGCTATCTCGTGCATTATCGTGCCAGGACCCTTTTTGGATGGCTCAAGCCAGCCGTGAATCAGCTATACCCCCTCGAAGAAAGGGTCCCTGACACGAAGAAAAATGAGATAGCGTCTGGTTGGTGGAGAGCCCAGACAGGCCACGCCTTTTTTGATTCCTCAGCCGTAAATCGCATTTAGTGGATTGGTCTAGTAACTAAATTTTGAGAAAATCGAGTGGTTTTACTCAAAAGTAAAGCTTTGAAAAACATTTTTTTTTGAGAAGATTTAATGAAAGAAAAAAATAAGTTTTGAATTATTCACTGGCAATGTCCAAGTGACCTTTTTAAGGACCTCAAAAAGAGTAAAAAAAAATTTCAAGATCTAAACGAATCCCAAAAAAAGACTCTTTGATAGTTTTCATCAAAAATAATCTTCTCATTGGCTTTTTATACCACTGGGAAGGTTCTTTTAGAAGCCTCATTGGAAAACCTCTTTTTTTGATTCTCTCACACTTTGCCCGTTCACGATAATCATGAAGAAAATAATTTTATGGAAAGTTTAACTCGACTCATGGAGGATATACATGGAAAAAATGGAAACTTTTTCATAGCCCCTTTTTGAATCTTTTTTAGTCGTACACAACATTTTTTCATTAAAGCATTTGAAAAAAAGGCAAAAGGGAGCTCTTATTTGAAAAAACCTTGTTAATTGATTTATAAATCAATGTATGAAGACAATTTCTGATCTCCCATTTCCAATAATTTCCTTTTTTTATCATTACTTCTTTGAACTCGGTCTGTGAAGGATTTTAAAAAAACGTCCAGGTAGGAGCTGGTCACAACTATCAGAAAGCCATTGTGGATGAACTATATGAACAGATTATAATATTTTCCAAACATTCCAGGGCCGTTGCATCCCGAAATGCCCAGCCAACCTGTACTCTCTATTGAACCGTCGCTGTGTCAGCAAAGATCACTGCAATGGGTTGGTTTTTGAACCTTTTAGTGTGATTCCCAACTTTTAATAATCCAAAAAAATTATTTGATATTTTTTTCTTCCAGATTGAAAGCCAAGGAAAAACGTGCCCCTCAAAGCAATCAACAGGGATTTGCTCGGCCAAATGCCCGGAGAACTATGAAGAGGGTTGGTTTTTCATTTAGAAAGAATATTTTGTTAGAAAGGACAAAGAAAGTTGAATAAATTGAGGATTATTGATTTTTTTATGGGATTTTTATATCGAAAATTTCATGTTTTTTTTGGTCCAAGAAAGAATAATAATTCGAAAAAAAGGCTTTTTCTCGAATTTTGAAGCCCTGCTAAACATTCGAAATAATTTTAAAATTGCTTTTTTTTGGATCTTTATTCGCAAAAGTTATAAATAAAAAAACCCAAAATCATTCATAAAAAAATTTAAAAAAGCTATTTTACGTAATTCGAAGCCCTCCCTGCTATGAACAAAAAAATCATTAGGACGATTTTCAGAATTTCCTTTTTTTATTCGTTTTTCTAAATCAAAAAAATTCAGTAATTTGAAAAATTTCAGATCCGAACGACCCGAAAGAATGCATCAAATGCAAATCGGTCTGTCAGGTGACCTGTCCCGGCAACGTCACCATTGATAATTACGCCAAGGTAAACCGAATTTTAATAAAGAAACAATTTCTGATAAAAAAAGGTTCAGAAGCTTATTTTTTTCATCTAGAACTGTTAAAAAAACGGCTCACCTTTCATAGAGATTCTTTCGAAACAACTTCTTTTTTTCAAAAATTTTGAAATTATTTTTTTGGTAGTTTTTTTTGGGAAAAATCTAACTAAATTTGAATCAAGCTCAAATTTGGTTTTTTTATGAAAAATTTTTATTCTATTTTTTTGTCGTCTTTTTCAAGCCATAGTTTTAGAAAAAAGAAAAAATAGAATCCTTATCTCGATTTTTATTTTCAAAAAGTTTCTCATAAATTTTAAATTATTTGTTTTTTCCAGTCCCGGTCTTAGAAAATGCATTTTCTAAGTTTTCATCAATTTTTCTTTTGATATTTCCATACTTTTTCATGTTCCTAATAACTTGAAATAGTTCAATTTTCAAGGCTCAGTCCCTAGAAATGCATTTAGAAATGAATAAAGTTTAAATGTCTTCATCTATTTTTTTTTTTCAAGTTTTTGAAATGTCGTTTATAGTTCTTGATAGTGAATTTAAGCTAAAATGAAAAGAAAGTTCGTATTCGGTTACACCGTTTGAAACTTGGATTTTTCCAGGCCCAGTCCCTGAAAGGTTGCCACATAATCGACGGCTACTTGAACGTGGAAATCCGCATGGGATTGGATCCATCGGGCGTCGCCGAACTCGGAGAAGCCTTTTCAAAAATTCACACCATCAAGGGGTATCGTTTTCATTCATATGATATTTCTAATTGGTGAGAACCATCTGGAAATTACTGAATAATAATGATAATTTTTATTTCTACCAAACTTTGTTGAGCCAAATATTGATATAAAATAACTTGATGAAGAAAAAAATGAACTAGAATGAGAAAAATTGTATTTTAAGATTAAACTTTGGATTTTTTTAGATGTAAGAAACATGAGCGAGAAAAAAAGTTTTAAAAAAATTTCAAGGTCCTAAAACAATTTTTTTCACATGAAAAAGCTTAATTTTGCAGATTTCTAATATTTTTTTCTATCTAGGAAAAATTTTTCTGAATCGTCTATTTTACCAGAAAAAGTTCCTGGAAACAGCAATCCTTGAAATTTTTGAGTCTTTCCATTTTTAAAAATTATTTTAAAGCTGTATTCATCTCGGGCAAGGTGGAATGGTAAATAATGGCCGCTAAAAGCCTCGAAAAAGGCCGCAAAAGTAGTCCCTTACTTCCATTTTCCTAGATTTTTAAGAAGTGGTGGAAAAAGGAAGAGGCAGCAAAAATGGTGCAAAAAGGCCGATGAATAGGCCGAAAAAGACAGCAAAAAAGGAACCTTTTTGGAGCCTTTTTCCACCCTTTCCGAATTTACCTACGATGCCATTTTCCAGATCTTGTTTCTAACTCTTCGAATAGTCGTTTTTGTTCCCAGATACCTGACCATCTTCCACACGCCCTCCTTCGTGAACCTCTACATGTTCAAAAACCTCCGACGAATTACGGGCGACATCCTCCAACACGAGAAATATTCGCTCTCCGTCTTCGAGAACGTCAACCTCAAGAAACTCTTCAATCCGACCATCAATCTGGTCATCGACAAGGGTTATTTGAGGGTTCGTTTGATAGGAAGCGTCCTGAATTTTTTAAACTACTTTAAATAAATTTTCAAAACCATATAATGTCAGTAAATCGAGATTTTGTAGCCTGTTCAGATTTTTAATGTCAATTGCAATGACGTCATTCAAAAACACTCTGTGGATGGCTCGCTCTCTGATTGGCTTATCGCGCTTTAAGGGGCGGAGCTTGAGCGAGGACTTGACATTCAAAATCTGAACAGACTATAGATGATTCACGGCTAGCTTGGGACGCAAAAAGGCGTGGCCTGTCTGCACTCTCCACCAACCAGGGCACTGCCTCGTCTCCTTTCGTGGCAGGACCCTTTTCTCGATGGCTCAAGCCAGCCGTGAATCAGCTATACATGTTTTAAAAAAGGCTACCAAGCGGTTGTTAATGGACGAAAAAAAGGAAAAATTAAATGTAAAAAAATATTTTTTTCTATGGAAAAATAAATCCATTTCCTTCCAGTTCCACAACAACCGCATGCTGTGTTTCCATCAAATCCGGCAGCTGATGGAGAAAATGGGCCGGGAAACGGAAATGTCGGACGTCGACCAGAGTATGAGCAGCAACGGCGACAAGGCCATTTGTTCGTTTATTTCGATCTTTTTCCAGATTTTTTGTGAAATTTTTAGGTTGCCCGGTTAGAAAAGGGCGCCTTTTTTGGAGTTACTAACGTGATAGAAAGTCTTTCCATTGGGTCATTGAACAATCCATTGGGACCCATTGGACATCCCCCTCCTCCACTCTTTATCCGAGCTTTAGAATGATACATGAATCGTTAAAATCAATGCCAATTTTCAACGGGCCAACTTTAACTAGCTACTGAAACGTTTGCGCTCTGACGAGACCTTTAAAAAAATTGATTTTTTTGAAAAATGTTCCTCTTAATTTTATTATTTAGTTCAAGCGTGCAATAAAAATCTTCGTTTTTAAAGTTCTAAGTTAATTTTTCTGATAGAATTCACTGATCTTTTTTTAGTTTTGAAATGAATTTAAATTGTTTCTAGAGGTTCAAAATGTTGTTTTCTATGCTTTTTGAACGTTTTGAAATTCCATTCAGAACTTTTTTTCTGAGAAATTTAAAAAAATATTAGTAAAAAAAACTCTCTTCGAAAAATTACATTTTGAAATGGATTTTCTGAAATTTTTCCATTTTGATTATTTTCAAGTTTTTGCATTTTAACATGATTCATTATGGAACAGTTACGCTTATTCAACAATATATTTTTCGTTTTCCAGGCGAAGACGCGACTTTCGAAGTGAAAGTGGTCTCCGTTTCCTACAATACTTTTGTTCTGGAATGGCCGGCTTTCAATACGACGGACATGGATCATCGGAAGTTCCTGGGTTATGAGGTGCTTCATTTTGTCATTTATGAGAAGTATTATCTATTTTTCCGATCTAGATTTGCTGTAGTAATTCGAGGCAAAAGCAGAATATACTGGGAAAATTTTTAGTGGCCACTATAGGGTTTTGACGTTTTAGTGGCCGCTATAGTAGTCAAATTAGTGGCCACTTAAGGGGTTTAAAATCAGAAGCCACTATAGAGGTCCAAGTGCTACTACAACACCACCAAAAATTTTAGTGTCCACTTTAGGGGTCAATGGATCAACATAACTGGTCCAAACTGTTTGTTTATAGGGGTGGGTTTGGTGGCCACTTTAGTGTCCTGTGAACGCTAATTTTTCCAATTATCTCTATATGAGTACTACAATATAAACCTCTTTATCCAGGTCTACTACAAAGAAGTGCCGAAAGTCGATCGGAACATGTCGATCGACGACGATCGATCTGCCTGTTCGGATTCCTGGTACAGTGAGTTCATCGAAAGAGCCCCGGACGAGAACGAGAAGGAGCCGAAAGCCGCCGCCATCTCCAACCAATTCATCAAGCCTCACACTATGTTGGTTTTGAAGAAAATTGGAGTAAAATGGAAATTTATGAAGAAAAACACTGAAAATTGGGTGAAAGGAATTTAAAAAAATTTTAAAAATCACCTTGTTCTGAGACTCATACTATGTTGATTGGAAGAAAACTTTGAAATCGGTTAGAAAAATAAAATCACAAAGGAAGTTCAAGTGATCTCTTAAGGGCCTCAAAAAAAAAAATAAAATTATTTTTAATTTTAAGAAAGTGCGGAAAGTTTCTTATAAGCTCCTTTTCAAGAAAAATTGACCTTTTTATCGGCTTTTTGCTCCTCCTTTTTTTAGAACTTCTACTTTTTCAACACCATTTAATCTTTTTTTAAGTATAAGATTCTGGAGGAAAAAGTCATGAAAAATAAAGTTTTTTTGAAGCTAAATTTTTAGATATTTTTTTGCCCGTCATAGAATGAAAGTAAAATGAGAAAAATGTTCGATTGAAAAAAATAAATTTTATTTGTAATATTTTATTTTCTCTTTTCGATAAATTTTAGATTTTATTCTTTCAAATTTGAGTGATTTATTCAATTTTGAACACGTTTGAATGCCATGGAAATCTCGAAAAAAGCGCAATTTTTTCAGTTTTGGAGTTGTTATTTTAAAAAAGTGTTCCATGGAGCGCAGAAGTCCTGTTTAAGACAAAAAGAACGTTATTTTTGAAAATGTGAAGCAAATTCATCATATTGCCGTTTCTCTGACTATTTCTAAGCCTGTTTATTCTTCAGTTTTTCGTTCGAAACATTGAAATCTCATTTAATCTCATTCTTGCAGCTACGCCTACTACGTCTCGACGCAAATCGTGCACCACAACGGGGCCCGCAACGCGATTTCCGCCATCGGATTCGTCCAAACCAACTTCACTTATCCGGAACCTCCCCGAGACTTGACCGTTTCCGCCACCACCGACACCATATCGTTTGGATATTCTCCCTTCTTAGAGATTTTACGAGGTCTCAGATTGAAATGGGACCCTCCGACGAAGCCCAACGGTGTGATCACTCATTACATCGTCAGTTGGAGACGGATCGATGCGGATCTGGAATATTATTCCCAGATGGCTTGCGACGCCGAAGCTCGTCAGTTTTTCATTCGGAAAGAGTTGGATAGGCCAGAGAAGGAAGGGCTAAAGAAAGGCAGCAAAAAGAGCCCCTTTAGGGAGCCTTCTTTATTTCTAGAGTTGTAAAGGTAGAAAAGAGAAGAGGCATCAAAAAGGGTGCATAAGGGCCGATAAAATGGTGCAAAAAGGCGGCAAAAAAAGAAGCATTTCAATAGAGCCTTTTTTCACCCTTTCCAATTTTGCCTATGGAAGAGAGTCAATTCCTGAATGGCCTATAAGCTAAACCCCTGTAGGGACCACTTTTTCGGCTCCCATATGGGCTGTTTTTCCCCCTAAACCCTATATGGAATACCTAAGACCCTCTTACTGTAGCCGGGTTACGGTAGCTGGGAATTCTAAAGAAAATAGGTGATATTAGAACCTTTCAGTTGAAAATCATGAATAAAATCGTTTCAAGAAATTTTGTGGGAATATCTAGGATCTTATGAGATTTTCCTATGATATTGAATATCAATCGAAAGGTGGAATGATTTTGAGAGCTTTGCAAAATCTGAAACCATCTTCGTCATCGAAGGGGATTTGCAGAGAAACTCCCGGAACACAGCCCGGATTCGATGCCCTCGGCGGTCGGAGAGGCGATCCCGGCGGCGGCCTCATCGGCCGTCAGCACCACGGCCCCGACCTTGACCTCCTTCCTCTCGATGGCCGCCAGCAACCAAGGAACCTGCTCCAAGGTCCCCGGCTGCTGCGAGTGCGCGGTGAGTGAGAATTCTGAAAGCCAGAGTGGATTTTGGTTTCTTTCGAGAAAAAACTACTTTTCGATGACTTGACTATGTGCATGCGCCTTTAAATTAGCTTGAAATTCATGATTTATTAAAGGCGCATCCACAGAGGCAGTGGGTTTTAAATAAAAGGTTATTCTGACCCGATTTTTTTACGGCACAGAAATGCTGATTTTGCGTTTTTCGCGTAATGATTTATAATGAAAAACACGTCAATCATGCCATTTTCGAAGTTGTTTCGACGAGTTAATGAAGAAAATCTATTCAAATAACCTTCCATCAGCTTTTTCTCTGGCTATAGCCCATTGTGCGCCAGCTTGTGACAGTTTTTCCTTCCCTCCTAGCTGCACTTCCCTTTGATACCCACAATCTGTCCTGAGCATGCGCCTTTAATAAAACTCAAATGTTAAGGCCAGGTTAAAGGCGCATGCTCAGTGGCAGGCCGCACGTATCGAGGGGAAGAGTTCTGTAGTTCAAAAATGACTTTGATGTGTCTTTTATATGCCAAAAGGAGACTTCGAAATATAATAAATAAAATTATATTTTACCAAGATTATCGCATGCTCAGGACAGATCGCGGGTGTTATCTATTTTTCAACTGATAAATTTTCATTTTTGATAGTCCTTAACATTTTTTTCTAAGCTTCTATGTTCTTTCAGAAACCTGCTGCGATCACCGACACGGAAGAAAGCTCCGACTTTGAGAACGAGCTCCAGAACGAGATCTTCGTTCAAAGGTTCTTACTAGAAATCGTTAGAGAAGTAGAGTTTCCAGAGTGAAATTGAAGAATATACCGTTTTTTGAATCCTAAATAAATATCCCTATAGGAGTTTTAATTAGTGGCCCCTATAGGGGACATGCTAGTTTTATGCGAAGAAGCGTTTCCATGGGAAAATGGAACAAATAAGCGTTTTTTGAATGAAATTGAAAGACCCCTAAAGGGTCCACTTGAGCTTTAGGGGCTAAGGAGTCAGACTCTAAACCCCTATAGTGACCACTTTTCGGCCTACTACAACCACTATAGGGACCACTCTGGAATTCCTAAATACATGAATATTCAGCTGTGAACATCACTGGGACCCGGAACGGTGCCGTCACTGGAAGCCGCAGACGGACGACGACGCCGACACGGAAGACGCCGAAGATGACCCGACGTCGGCGAACGCGACGAAGAAGGCCAAGCGGTCGAGACCCCGACGCGCCTCCTCCGACTCCTGGGAGCAGCGACGCCAGAAGATGCACAGCTCCAAACACACCATCCGCAACACGTTGGCCGACTACGAAGCCTACTACGAGATGTTGGAGTGCGTTTTATCGATGGAAGAAGATCGTTTTATAGTTGATTCACGGCTAGCTTGGGACGCTAAGGGGGCTTGGTTTGTCTGCGCTCTCCACGAGCCAGGCACTATCTCGTGCATTATCGTGTCAGGACCATTTTTTCGATGGTTCAAGCCAGCCGTGAATCAGCTGTAGCACAATCAAAAAAAAGAAATATTAGTGAAAAAATAGAATTTTTTGAAGTTTTCAACAGAGTTCCACTTGATTTCGTAACCTTCCAGGATGATTTTTTCAAACTTTCAAACCCAAAATGGTAGAAATTAATTCATCATTCCCACATTTTCCAGTCGCCTTAATCCAGTCCGCCGTCGTCGATCAATCGATTCAGTTGACAAGGAGGAAAAAGAAGATCCCAGTTCGAATAAAATTCCCTCGACGACACCCGCGACGAAACCGACTGCGGAGAACTTTGTGCAGAAAGCTGTCAAGGTCGGTTTTGGGGTCTCAAGCAGTGAAATAATCAGAAAAATGAGAGAAATCGGTATAAATAAGGTATTGGAAGTGCTGAAAATTGTTAGGTTTAAGAAAAAACGGAGTTGTTTCCATGCGAAAAATTACTGATTTTCTGCCATTTTTTTTTTAACTTTTAATTTTTTTTCCACTGCTCAAGTCTTCAATTTTCATTCTTTTTGACACAAATAAACCGTAAAAAAACAAAAAAATTTTTGGGGTGCTATCTGAGAATAAAACAAAAAAAGATTTTAGAGCGTCAAACTGGCCGAACAGAAACGAATCATCGACCAACTACACCACATCAACATCACGGCGGCCCCCAAGAACGGCGCGACGACCTTTGTCATCACCGGCCTGAAACACTACGCTCAGTACTCGGTGAGCAAGAAAAGGAAAAAATAATCGATATGATTTCACCGAATTCTTGAACTAAATTTGGTGCAAAACGTGTGTTTTCAAGAATTTTAACTGTCTTTTGGAAACGTATCACTTTTTTTTTCTCATTTGAACAGCCGATTTGAACTTTTTAACGAGGAATTTACACCAGCGAGTGTTGATTTTAGGAAAATTTGGGGGGTTTGTTTTTTGAGCTTTCTGGCTTCAATATAAAATATTTTTCTTAAATTCCCCTTTTTGATCAAATTATTTTCGTTTTGTGCTAAGAATAATGTTCAAGTTGATCCGAACGGAATTGAAAAATAGTGATTTTGCCGACAGATTTCGAGTTTTATGAATTTCGCAAATAGGGCATGGTTTATTCGCAAGTGCCGCACAACATTTGGAAACGAGTTTAAAAAATTTGCAAAGTCTCGAAATTTTCCTCAAATTTTTTT